TAAAAGAGATAATAAAAACATATTTTAAATTACAAATACGCGCGCGCACATACATTATTATTGAGATAAAAGATTAAGAGCTCATAAAGGTTATACTTCTTACACACAGAAAAATACACGCAAAATTGTACAATAAAATAGATCTGTTAGTATAAGAAAAACAGCAAATCATGAAGTTCTAGTATTCATGGCTATCGACCAAGAGGAAAAAGTGGGATGCTGAGAAGTAACGCGACTATGTACCAAAATAATCGGAAAGAGAGAAGAGAAACGAATGAAAAAGAGCGAAGAAATGCATTTTCACGATACGCGGTCTGCTTTTCCCGGTGAATGAAAAGCAAACAGAAAAGTCGCGTCTTCCTCGATTCTATGACGTTCCATCGATCGAATATGCTCGTCTTTTCCTTCCCATTTCATTCCGCGTCTTCCTTTTTACCTTTCGCTCATAATTCTCAAGACACCTCGCGCCATTCTTTCCACAAATGCAATAAGCGCTACAGAGAGAAAAAGAGAGAAAGAGGCGCGGGAGCGAAAGGCCTTGAAGTGAACACCTCGGGAGAACTCTATGTTCTTCCGGTGACGCTCAATTATTACTCGTGCACGGACCAGGTCAATCTCAGGCTACTTTAAATTACTTACTCGGCGCGATATTCCGGAGGGAGCAGAAACTTTGTCGTGACTCTCCTCGGGGAAATTTCGTACGACAGATCGAAAACTAATTCGTCGCGCGAGGATCAAAACTAAAGCGGAATGTTGGAGACAATGAACGAGACGCAACGAGACGGTAGAAACGCGAGATGCACGAGAAGGATCGAGCCATTATTCTCGAGTGGAGTTTTATGGAATCGCACGTTAGGCGATGCTGTCGTAAAATGTTGTTTCAAGGAGGAGGTAAACGAGAAGAAAGGCGATCTTTCTCCAATCTATGTTTCGCACCGTGCCGCGTTATGCATCAGCTGAAGCAGCGAACGATGTGATGATTTGGTGCACAAAACAAGCGGAGGAAATTGCCAGTTAGTTGAAGATTCGATTTTTCAGAGCCAATAATAGTCGATCCGCAGGACGCGATGCAGAGAGGGTAACGAAAAGTGGTGGGTAAGAGAAACCAGAATAGAAGGAGAGGGAAAGGAAAAGATAAAAAAGAAGTGCGACCTGCATAGAACGGCTAGAAAGCTCAGCGTAGGAAATGAGATCTACAAGTGAGCGAACTGGACGAGCGCGGGTATAACGCCGAAATGCAATTTTCATCCGGCAGTCGCCCGCTTCTGCAACGCTGCGGCCGAGGCAGCGGCAAATTCTCTCCCTCTTCACTTCCCTCCTCAGCTATCCCAGGTTTTTTCCCACACATCACCATTTTCTCGATATGTTTACCGGACTGATTGCATTCGCGTAGACAAATAATCTGATATTACGATGAAACAATCCAAGCGTGATGTTGCGAAATGCACGTACTGCTCGCGCATGGTAACGTGTTATACAAAGAACGGGGATCCGATTTATTTGTACACCGCAGACGATTGCCTGATGATGAATCGCATGACACATCGCGAAAGTACACATCGCAGAAGTTTAAAATGAGAACACGTTTATTTTTCCAACAGACCATTATTTTTTGCGCCGCTATGATCCTTGTCGAGCATTTCTTGTGCTGGACGGGATAACGAAATTCACGAAACACACGTGGGATAAAAAACGCACAGACAGGAGCATAGGGGGAGATGTGGAGAGGTTGTAGAGAAAAAGAGGGGGGGAAGCGAAATAAAAAAAAAACGAACGACTGGTTACCACTTCATTTCGAGCGCAGTCGAGCTACGGCTAATTAATGCACTTTTGTCGGTTTGCTGCGACCCTGCTCACGCTATGCACGAGAAACGCGATGTAGAAAGGGTGGTTGAAGCAGAGAGAAGAGTCTGCATGTGGTAATAAGATTGTATTACGTCGACTATTCTTGTATAATATTCCGTCTGTTCTGTCATGTTATGCACGAAGGAATACATATTCAGTAAGTGAAAATAGATCGTAACAGTAAAAAAGTGAAGATGAAGATAAAATAAAATAACATAATGCAATATAAATGTGATTATTTCGAAAGATTTCTGTGATAACATTATTTTATGGAAATTGTGAAAACTCTAAAGTAGAAAACAAGCATTGGCGGGTGTGGTTAAAAAAATGCAAATTATGGATTTGCAATTATATTGTGCCGTTGAGTTTATGCATTAATTTTACCGTCTATATGTCTATTCCAAAGATGAAAGAATTATTAAAAAGTTACAGACGAAGCCGAAAGTTGATTAAAATTCCTCAGTAATGCTGAAATTTATAAATAATTCTTCTTAATTACTTTTTCTGCCCTTTCATCGCGATATTCTCTATAAAAGTTATAAAACCGTGCAGAATACAGGCGTATGTGTACCGTAACAACACATTCTTTTACAAAACAACATTCATATTCATGAATACGTGTTAGATCTCCACTCATCCATAATTTTTGTTAAAATTGATTCGCAAGTACAAAATGGAATAAACGGGAGATTTTCTACAGAAAATCGATTGATAATTACAAGTCTTTTTTAAAGTAATTATTCGCAACAGATTATAAAATAATAGAAAATGTCAAAATGATTTGTGGGATAGAATATCTAAAATAGCTATATAAATTGTTCAGGAATGTCATCAAATACGTATTAAAAATATATGAGGTGTACACGGTTTATGCAAATAGTTTATCCATTAAATTTAAAATTATCAATTAAAATTAATCTCAGAAATATAACTTAATTTAGCATATTCACAGTGTTGGGTAGTATCTAGATACATGTATAGAGATACAGTTTGTGTATCTAACCTGTATCTGAGGTACATTAAAATTCGAGTATTTGTATCTGTATCTAGATAAAAAAAACACAGCATCTGAACTGATTTTCAAATGCATTTTTCAGATACATTTCCTTAGCATAATCATAATTCCATTTTGTGTATGATTGTTAATTGATTCCATTTTGTGTACACTGAAAAAAAAGATTGGCTGCTGCAGCAAATTAGATGGTAAAATATGGCATAGCATTTTTAATTGGTTGCAGCAGTCAATTTTTGGTTGTGTTAGTCTATCGAAATCCTATATTGACATTGCAGATAGGATTTATATATTTATATTACAATATATTGCTATTATGTATTTGTGTATATCAATCAAATTTTTAGTATAATATTTAGAGTATTTTTACTTAAATGAACTGTACTTAAAACTGTAAAAAAATTGTTCCATTCTATTTTGAGAAAATATATGACTGTAATTGTCTGTATGAAATACAATTCGGATTTGCGAGTCTTGCATGTTTGAATTATTTAATTGTATGTGTTGTTAGTGTATTGCTATTAATAATGATTATACGTCTATTTTTGTTAATCTTTTGGAATTTGACAACTTGAAATAAATGTAGTTATATATAATATCTTTATGAAAAATGTTACGCTGTCACATTATACATAGTATTAATGTACTAATTCCATAAAAGGATCCCGCACAAACCTTATGGAAATTGAATTTCGGTCGAATTGGCTGAAAATTTGATACGTTGTAGATCTTGTCGTCTTGACAAAAAGTCTCCACGGGCATGACCTCCTATAATGAACCATTTGACCTCTACGAGGCATCATTTTTAAAAATGAACTAATACTCAATATCTTATTTTCAGCGAGTACGGTGCATTCCTACGTCATTATTTGCACTTTCTATGTATATTTTTAAGTAAAAAAAAGTTATTTACGGTTTTTCTAATTTTAAGGGGGATTATTAGCGTTTCAGACTGATTATATTAAAAATCTGAAAAATTATTGGCGCGCAATCATATCTGAAATAAATTGATTTAATAAAGAATACATATTGTATTTTTCGAAACATCTAACTTTGACTGTGTTAGCGCTCTCTATCATATTTGATGTATTCATATATACGGTCGTTTCTTAAGTTTTAGTTATGTTTAAAAAAAGAAAATTGCAAGAAGACGTACTCGCAATAATCAAGCACCCCGATATGTGAGAGGCGAGGGAACTCACAATAATCAAGAACTCCGATTTGTGGGAAGCAATCAAGTCAATATTATCTTTATAACTTTTTACTTAAAAATATAAATAGAAAATTCAAATAATGACGTAGGAATGCATTGTATTCGTTGAAAATAAGATATTGTAGTATTAACCCGTTTTAAAAAATGACGCCCTGTAAAGGTTAAACGGTTCATTGTAGAAAGTTGTGCCTATGGAGACTACAATATATCAAATTTTTAGTCAATTCAATTTCCATAAGGTTTGTGCGGGATCCTTTGATATTTTATAAAATGATAAATTTTATTGCTTGAATTATCGACTGCATCGAAATCGATATATCTTCCATTATTACTTATTGCATATTATATGTACATTTCAATGTATTTTTATATGAAATTATACTTTGTGTGTGTGTGTGTGTGTGTGAAAACCGCTTATTTTATAGATGACTGTCACAGCAAAAACATTTGTCAGGAAATGATAAACTGATGAGATACGTATCGAAATATAATCAATTTTACAGTGTAATATTTAGAGCATATTAAAAAAAATCGAATAAGATAATTCATACCCAAATACAATGGGAAGCATTTATGAAGATAAAATTTCAAAAATCAATAGACAATTTGACGAAATATTCTTATTAATTAATAAAAAATAGAATTACTAAAGTGTGAGGCTCAAAATATGTACATAAAATGTATATCACATCATATTATATATATAAAATAATGTAATTTTTGTGTTTTAAATAATTATTACATAATAATTTATGATAAAATGCCTTCAAATCTATATTCTCTCGATTATTAACATATCAAAGCGCTTAAACATTCATAATTAGGTATACTACTAGTATGTATTTTCCCGCGAGCAAATGAATACCACTTTTGTCCGAACATATATCTGAAGATTTTGTATACGGGCGCGAGAAAGAGAAACAGACTTACCAAAGAGCCAACTGATAATGGTGAACCGCAAGGTTCGGCTGCGACGTGTCTTTAAGGAAGTTTGCGAAGTTGTAATGCATCTTGGCATTGTAGGGTAGAGACCGCAGTCCCGCTCTGAAACAAGACGATTTGAGGTTAGACAAGACCATCCTCTTGACCTCGACATGATCCCTACCACCCTTGTCATCTCGTATCTACGTTAGTTATGTTTTGCCTTCCTATACATAGGCAATCGGCGCTTGTACCAAATTCTTGAACGTATATATATATATATATTATACATAGATATACACACTGCTGGCATGGTGCCAATCTCCTCTTATTTAAGTCAGAACTAGACACTCCCCGTAAATGTCCACCCCATAAATGTCTTCGCGTGACAAAATCATTTTTGTCGTAATTGCGAGGCTCAGGTATGATTGCGTGCAATGTACGAACGATTATTTATGTTTGCTATTAACACGAGGACTTTATTCAAAGCAAAGAAGTTTCTCTTTTCGAACGGTTAATAAAACATGAGACACGTAAATCTGTTGTCACGTACTTGATTAAAGTTTCTCTAGATGTCCAATCGTTATTCCGAAGAATCGTTCTAAAACATCCTAAACCGAATAAGAGAACTACGCCTGTAGTGATCCAGCTTTTCCGTCGTGGTACAGCGGTCCAGCTCACCTGCATGCCGTAGACAACCAAAATAATCCACCCAACACTGTAAAATCACATCGAGAATTTATGCCATCCGTTGCAATAATTCTAAAAGTAAAATATAAACCTTAATAAAATTACCTTGGTGTATATAAAACCCGTTCAGCCACGACAAAACCCACAGTGACAAAAAGATTGGATGCAGGTAGGAACGGCAGCACCAGGAACATCCAACCAAGAACAAGAGGCGGATGCCTTTGTTGCTAAAAAATAATATAAGACATATTATTAATAAATTCAGACATTTATTAATAAATATAGTTCAAATTCTCGTTAAATCCGACGCTACTGCATCGAAATCTCTTCAAGCAAACTGTTACATAAGTTTCTTCATCTTTACCGGATGAGTGTACTCGATTAAAGTTTATGTTATACTTAAGTAAGTTGATGTTGCTTTTACGCAACTCGCATACTCGTAAAATTATGTTTAAATGCATTCGCAAGTTTTAAATGTATAACGAGTAATAATTTAAAACGATATATCTCGAACTGCCGCTTCTTAATTAACTTATTCAAAAGATAAATTTTAGAGTTAAAGAAAAGTATATATATATATATATATACGATTATATACACACATGTATATAATCGGAGAAATTTTATATAAATAAATAAAATTAAATAACCAAACAAAATCGTGCATAAAAGAATTATTTATAGTAAAATGATATTTTAACTTTACAAAACAAAATATTTTCACATTTGCTAGAAAGAGTATATTGCAACAAGCAACAGTTTTTAACGTTTCATTGAAAAATAAAGAAAGGAATGAAGCTTTTTTTAGTGATCTTATTTTTCTCCTATTATTTCTGTGTGTGTGTTAGAATATTATTTCATCTAAGTAGTTTCCATCTAGCATCGTGATAAATTAAACTATACAAGTGTAAGTGGTTAAATCACACGTAAATAGCAAAAAGAAATATCTATCGACTTTTGCAAATTAATCCACATAAAGAGAGCCAGACAAATATATCCAGATATTCGCTTAAATTACACGAAAAATGTACAAGTAACAATTGAACATATTGGAAAAAAAGATTATTGCAACTTTAAACGATTGGATTGCTATTTATTTTTATGACTTGAGCAAAAATAAAAGCTGCTAAAGCAGCATGAAAAAAGTTTGTGATAACTATTATATAATTTTGTTTTAACAAATGGGGATCTTATTTAGTCTGATCTTTATTCAATTCTATTACCTATTTTCATTTTACCGATCATTACGACACATAAAAATAACAAAACGTTTTAAAATCGAAAAAATCGCTTGTTCTGCATTAAGAATTCAAACTAGTACATTGTTATCCGCTTATTATATCACAGAATAAATGTTTAATACGATTCCACAGTGGTCAATACTACGGATGCTGAATGTTCGTATACGAAGTTATTGCATAAATCAGAATATCAGAAACATGTATCGCGTCTAAACTGCAGATTACTTCGAGAGAGAAACATGTTTACGAGACAAATGGAATGCTTCATAAACCTACGGTATCGCACGACACGCACGGATCGTTATCCCACGATGATATGAAGAGAATACCGGACTGCGACATGCATCTTTACAGGTATATGCATAGCGTATGCACTTTCGTGTAACAGAAGGTAAAAAGACAGGAAACGGTATATCAAAATGGAAACACATAAAATGGACAGACGCAGATTCATCTACAGCTTGTGCATCTCGTGCCTCTCATGCCACAGAATCGTATGAATTCGAGATAGGAACGAGAGAGAAAAATATAAGAAAAAGTTTATATTTCGAAAATTATTCAAACCCGAAACAAAACGTGAAAGATAGATATGATCATATTCACATAGTGCATCAGAGAGGAAATTTCAACAACGAATATTTTGTGACAAAATTAGGTTCAATATTCTAAATCTAGACAGAGAGAAAAAAACTGCAGTCTAATTTATTGGAAGCGAGGATACAAAAATAAGACGAGGATATGAACATCAATTTAAAAATCGGTAACATTTGCTTCTAATAAATAGGTTTATTATCTTGATTAAAACACAAAAACAATGGATTTAATGGATTTTCTACTTGAACACTTTCGACTGATTTACATCATGAAAAAAATATGAAAATAAATAAATAAAACGAGTATACAGGAATAAAAAACATACGAATAAAAATAAACATTTTAACATCGACGGAGTTCAACGTTTTACTATCTATTTCACATCGATGGAAACGATGAGAAAAGTTAGGAAAAAAAAGGAACATGTTAATAACAAAAATTTCCATGAGCATGTCTCCGCGAAAACTGTGAAGAGATGGATATCGAGCATTATCATTTGAGGGATCAGAGTGTTGCCACCAACAATGCGATGTCATTCTCGTCGAGTTTATCTGATGAAAAAGGGAGCAAGCATACAAATAATTTGCGTTGCCATTAGTCGATGATGGATCGGCTACAGTTAAAATGAATTGAACACAACTATAACATTCTAGGAAGAACTCATCTTATAATAGATAATATGATGCAACGTCAACGGAGATTGAGATGGGTTTTAGTGGAATTAAAAATCATCCACTGGCCGATGTATTGTCATCCTATACATCACGCTATCTCATGCGAACTCAAAATGGAAAATCAGAAAGTCCTTCACAGTGTTAGCGGATACCAATATTCAACTATCGCTTCAATCGCAATCAAACATTCGATAAATGCAAAAACGCAGACGGAAAGTCAGAATTAAAAGAGAAAAAAATTAAGAAGTTACCATCAATATTGCAAATACAGCGATTTCAATTAACAATAAGCGTGAATATTTCAGAATTGTATCATCAAATATCTTTGTGAAGAAAATATTATATAAAAACCAAAAACAAACTGATGAAACTGAAGAAAAGTCATTAATATATTTACAGAAGTGATCAATATTGATGATCGCAGTGCAGAAATATGAATGCTAAAATATCATACGTTCAGAAATAATAGAATTAGAATTAATTATTAACGACAAATTGAAAAATGAGAAGAATTTATTAATAACGCTGAAATGTGAAAAAAAAATTGAGAATGATTATTTTCAATGCATGTGAATTCCATAACACAGCCAGTATAAAAAGAATAATAAACCTGACTAACGCAACTATCATAGCTGTCATAGCAAGTGTTATAACATAAAAAATAGCAAAAAAATGAACGTAAAAGTGACACGAAGGAAGATACATCACAACCGCAACAGAATAATTTAAATGTTTGAAAGAAAGACAAGATAATTGCTCGTATGCTGTTGTCGACAGAAAAAACCAACTCCACGAAATGCGAAATGCATGTCTAAAGTTATGGAAGAGGTAACGTCATTCAACTCATGTACGGAACACGAACGTATTAGCGATATTATAAAAGAAAGTTGGAAAGTTTCTTCGAGCGTCGCGATGTCAGCGAAGACGATGTCTTCCAGTTTAAAAAGTTTAAAACAAATTTCAAGATAAATTAATGCGAAATTTAGTGACATAATTCCTAAGCAAAATCACAGAGAGACAAAAATAAAGAATTTAAATAATTTTTTTTTAAAAGGAGGAAATTATTGCGGAAATTTATATTATATATTGAGGAAATTTATATTATAAATTTATAAAAATCAGTCATTTTCGCGATTTTTAACAATCTTAAAAATGTACGACAAGATGTACAAAGTTGATTTGTATAAAAGAATTCAATGTTTAATTCTGGTTGTGAGGCGCACATTATAAACAAAAATAGATATGCATAGAAAAATAACTTTGCAAATGTTAGAAATATATGACTATGTCAGTAAAAAGAAACAAGCACTAGCGTTATCAAAGACGAACATCAAAGTAATGTAACGATGACAGCATCGTTATCCAATTCACGTGCAGAAGCATAGACAGAACACGAATACAATACAAATCTTCAACGAGAATCCATAGAAATGACATTCTCTGGCAAAGTAAAAGACCGAACAGAACAAAGTAAAAATAATGTTAGTAACAATGAAGGAGCTGTCACAAATACTACGGTATTCGTAGATGCAATATCTCAAAATGGTATCGAAAACATAAATAAATAAAACTTGTCAAAAAAATATCGTCAATTTGAACGTTGAATCATGAATAGATAATACATTTTATTGAAAAATCGAACGAGATAGTAATGAGTATGTACGGATATCGGGTGCATCATTAGTATCTGTCGATAATCTCTCTCAAAAGCGAAAAGATAATTTTCGATCAAATTATCCCAGGTAACACGTATTGTCTAGAAAATATCTTTATGATGTCTTTCAGATATCTTTTAGATATGTATGTCTCAAAAGACATTTTTATGATATTTTTTAGGTATGCTCGTGTCTGAAAATTAGAAATTTTAAGAAAAATATATTGTATATTGATTATCAAAGTTAAAAGATAATAAAAAGCAGAAAATATGATAATATGGAGGAAAGATCTGTAGCAAAGAAGCTGTAGTATTAGCGAAAATGAATTTGCAGAGAATATGCAAATAGACAAAAGAATATAAGCTGATAATGATAATAAGCTAAGATAATAAGTGAATAAGATTTTTTGCACTGTGATTGTTCCTTTCAAATAATTAAAGAATGTAATACATACTATATAATAAGGTATTTATCAATTAAAATTATTTTAACAATTCTATTTTTAGAAAATTTTTATATTATTATTGAATAGATTATTTTAATAAACATATCATTATTTGGATGTCAAAATGTCGACAAACAACGTTAACTTGTTTAATGAATAGAAATATGTATAACGTTACCGATCGATATTAAAAATATAATTCTGACATGTGAAAGTAAGCATCGTTATTTTAAAATTTACCAACAATTTACTCACAATAATTTATTTAATGTGATGACATGTGATATATTTATATTACGTTATAAATCTATTAGACAAAATCTTAGGAAAACATTATCCGACACTTCTTACATACAAATATAATTTCTTTATCTCGATTTTCTGTAAAACAGATATTGTAAAAGTTAACGTTCTTTTTCTCTCTCATGTTGGGATAAGAAAAAAATATAATATATATATGTTTTGAGACATTTGCGAAATCTAACTGTGCTAATAAATTCCCAGATATACACACGAGACGACAGAAAGCAATTACATTTGTAAAAAGACTTTTCCCTTCATAAATACGCTACATGCATAAGAATAAGGATGACCTCGTTTGAGAAGAAGACATCTGTTTCCACTTCGTGCCTGCGAAGAGGTAGGTAACTGGCGCGGCGGTTAGTCAAGCGTGTGAGATGACATTAAGAGCACAGATATGACCTCTTTGAGGAAAAATGACCATCGACGTACAGACAACGAACCTTTAAAGAGGTCATTATGTTGAAGGCTCAACGACCGTCACGGATGATCCCAAAGACACAGAAGACAAAAGTAATTTACGAGATACGCAAGTTATCGTTTGACTTGGAAACTATTATGTCATATAGTTACTACGAAACTTCTTTTATGACTCTTGAACCGAGCACAATTTTATCACTGTAGACGATAGTCGACAGGTATTGGAGTACTACGTTTCTTATGTTATGCTAGGTCAATGGTTGAAACATTTAACAGCAGGATGACGTTTCACAGACGATAACTGATGGTCATTCCGCTTTATGATCTCGTAAGGTGACCAATAACATTGGCAAATCTACGATACCAACCTCTTGAGAAGAATACTTTTTTTATGTCGATTCGATAAAATAAAGTAAAGAAATTTATGTAAATTTCAGTAAATCTCTTTACTATTAAAGTCTACTAAAACTTAATATTATACCGTAAAGAAGGTATAATAAGCGATTTTTCCAACGCTTGAAAGAATATTTGTGCATTACTCACAATTCATATGTAAATATTCCGTTTAATTGTAATATAATAATTTAATTATAATCTGCGATTATTAAATTTTACTTACCTCGAAATCCGTAAAGGCTTTGTACGTGAGAACCAGACAACCGCCGAAGAATATACAGGTGGCCAGATTTCTGGTATCCGTAAAAGATGTAACCAAAGGAACAGATCCCATTTGCCAATCGTGCGAGAGTATAGCCGGACACAGCAGCAACCAACAATTCAACGCTGCCAAGTAGCAAAAAGTCAACAATCTGAAATCAATAATGACAATTATCATTAGATTATAGTACAATAATATTTTAATTGATAATAAAAGTATTGATATTATAATTATAACCTTTCGAACCTGACAATAGAATCCATTGTAGAATCTATTGAATAGATCTTTTGAATTCACTCAATTACAAATTTCTTTGTCAAAAATGTCAAACGGTTCAATTTTCTTTATGTTACATTCACAAAGTTGGATTCATATTAAATTATTCTTACTAAAATATACGTAATATTTATTCTTTTTTATACAAGTTATGTCATTTTGGTTCCTTAAACTTAATTAGTGTTTTTTAATTAACAGAAATTAAATCAGTCTTACAGACTTACAAGTAAATCTACGGACATGTCACTCACCGATTTTAATGAAACTTTGCATATTTGTAGAACTATGAAAAATATTTGACACATTTTTCTTTATCGACAAAGGTTCGCTCTGAAGGGTGAAAACTATCCCTTAAAGGTAAGGGATAGATTTAATATATTAAGTGAAATAAGCCATATTGGATCGGCCATTTTGAATTTCATACTTTTGACATAAGTTTGACATTTAGTTTCAGCGACCCCAAAAACCCCCCAAAACCCCCTAATCCACTTTACTTTTTAAAATTTTCAACTTATTTCACCTAATGTATTAAATCTACCCCTTACCTTTAAGGGGCAGTTTTCACCCTTCAGAGCGAACCTTTGCCGATAAAAAAAAATACGTGTCAAATATTTTTCATAGTTTTACAAATATGCAAAGTTTCATTAAAATCGGTGAGTGACATTTCTGTAGGTTTACTTGTCAGTGTCAATAACTGTGTAAAAGATTTTAGTGTCAATTTCGGAGGATTGTATGCTATATCCGTTTGATTTTGTTCTGAAATAAATTGTCACATTCATTTGAAGTTGACGAACGAGTTCGTCGTCTTTTTTCCGAAGAAAATTGGCTGCTCGATTGTCGCGATGGAGGCAAGTTCTCGCGATCGGTATTGTCCTCTTGGCGTGAGGTGAAGAGGTCGGTCAATGAGGCCTGGAGTGGTACCCTCTAGTTGCTGACATCGAGGTTCCATTTTCTCACTATCAGCATCTACCGATATAATCACCGATATAATGCCCTCCCCTAGTATCTCTACAGCAAGCGTCTGTACGATATTCTCGGTGTATCGTCGCGCTTCTCGGGACGGCTTACTCGGCAAGTCTATTGTTTCTTGAACAAGCTCACGCACACTATGGGCCGCATAACGCCCCAGTAAATATTCGCCTGCGCCGTTGTGAGTGTTAATTCCAATGGCTCATGAGTCCTTCTAATTGTCCCTGGCGCCAGATGCGGCGACACCCACAGCATCGGCTTTATTCACCGGGTAGCCGAAAAGTGAATGAGTAACAACAGGACATGAGATGTAAGAGATTTTAAGCCCGTTCTCCTAATAAATTACGTTACGGTTGATACAAAAGCATGAACTTATCTGCGTGTGAAGATAAGAGAGACATCACAAATTACGCTGGAAATACGATGAAGATTTATAACTGAGTGTGCTATTACATCGCGATTGTTATATATCATCGCAGGTTAAATAAATTTTCTCTGCTAATTATTTTTGATAACATATATTCCGCCAGTAACATGTTACTTTTTAATGTATCGTAACGAATCACTGTTTCCCCTAAATGGTACATCAAAACGTACTGAGAACTGACATTAAAATTTAAATATAGAGAGACTCCTTAATTGCTCTCTCGGCGCAAGAAAAATCTACATTCTGTACAGCAATTGTTCTAAATGTTCCACGATTAACGACATTTATTCCTTTGTTATTTCGTGCTTGAGCACGTATATTGTTACTGCTACTTGCTAATTAATATCCATCTCTTGGACAGTCGGGAAGTGAAAAACGCAATGTAACTCGGAAAAAAAGCAAAGACAATAATGTATCTCGGCTCCAAAGCGGCCGTCCTTTTTCTGCATAATTTTTCTTGTCGCCGGTCATCTATATTTTCATTTTGTTGAAATGATTGATGAAAGCTTTTGTATCATGATTTCGCGAGACACGGGAATTGGGAGTTTCTGATGCAGGAATAAGGGGCGATCTGAAATGTCAAAATAATAATTTGTGGCATATGTCAAGCGCGATGCACGTACTGCTATATGAAAGAGCAGGATTTTCCCGAGAAAACGGTCGCATAGAGAGTGACATATTCCCGCACGTCCACTCTTTTTGGAAATTGCGGGTATTACAGAGATTGCTATAAATCTAGGAAGGATATTCTCAGATTTGTGGACTTTCATGGACTTCCATAGACTCGCCCAAACAAATATCCGCTTTTTCAGAGCTAGACCTTTATCACGTAGTTCGCTAGTTGGTAATAGATAATAATAATAATAGTAGTAATAATAATAATAGCCAGAGATGCTATTCTATTTTTGTTTGCCAAACATACATTGTAAAAAATAAAATGTTAATTTTAACATGCAAAAATGTTAAAATTAACATTTTTGCATGTCTCAAAAAGTCTACTATACGACTATAAGTTAAAATTAACATTTTATTTTTCACAATGTATGCAGGGTGTTTCAGATCTAACGTGCACCTGCTAATGGCAGATTCTTGAAGTTATTTCGAGACTAAAATTTTAATATTAAAATGTCGAGGCTATAATAATTTTTGAATTATAATTATTTAAAGTCAGCAAATACGTACGTTTAGATCTGAAAAATCCTGTATAAGAGCAACAAATAAATACAATAAATTATAAAAGAAAAAATAGAAACGAAAAAAGATACTTACTTCTTATATTTTGTATAATGTTTGTATATCTTAACTTACAAATTATTTAATCTCTTTACTTTTGTATGTTAATTTAACATTTATTATCGTCCACATATTTCTTGTATTAATGAAAACATATTAAATTAGAAATATTAAACAATAATAAACAATAATAAACGATTAGAAATATTACATATTAAATAATTTTTTATATTTAATATACAGAAAATTAATCAATTGGTTCAATTAAGACCATTTCATTAAGACGGTTCGCGCCAGACATCGTTTCTTGTTGGTCTTACGATCGTTTGTCAAGCCAGCGAACTTCAGAAAAAGCTTTCCTTTGAAGCCGTCATTCGCGTAGAAACGCGATGTCATTAGCTTTTAATCGGAGCGTTCCATCAATTTACCCTCTCTTTCATTCAGCCGTCCTCTTTTTCCTCCATACCTTCGTGATATGCAGGTATCGATTCTGTCGATGTTTGATAAGCGGTAAACTTTTCCGTCCGTATTCTTACGGTTCAGATATTGTCGGCTTCCAAATTACGCGTATTATGTCAATCACAACGAACGTACATCTCACACACGAAAAGAAGAGAAACTAATGATCGGATTAATATAAAAATTATTCATGAGGCACGTTAGTAATATTATACTTGTCATCCTTTATCAACATTCGCTCAGAATATGTTCGAACCGAAGATGACAATTTTGAAAGCGCTTCGGAACGATCAATCATGGTTGAGAAATTCATGAAACCAGGTGCAAGGTGGAAACTTTAATCGACGCTCGCGTGATAAGTTCTTCGCACCATCGTCCGTTCGTTTCGTCATCGTCGGCACGTAAGAACTTTGATCTCCCGTACATGCTTTTGAATTCAGATGAAAGCAATTTCCCTCGATTACCAGGCAGAGGTGCAAGATAGGCTACGATCGATTCGCACGTGTTCCTAAGCATTCACTTGGCGATTTCGAAGCGAGATTTATTGCATGCATAATCACGCAGCTTCTAAGCACGCAAACTGCTATCATTTTTCTATGTCAAATTTTTCAGATAGTCACCGCATTTGCATAAACGCAATTTCCAAGCGCGAAGTCATGCATCACGTAATTAAAAACACGTGCATACCTGTAACAATTTGTTAGTAATGGTTTTCACACTATGTCAATTGAAATGTAAAACATTTAGATTGAAATGGAAATACACACTTCTTGTATATCTTCTTTTATCGTACAAATCCTTCTAATACCAAATTTTCAAGGTGTAGAATAAATTTAGACGCTTCAGGGTAATAAATTATCAATCTTCTTGCGAGACAGCGCATTTTGTTTCGAGACAGCTCGTATTGCGTGAATAATCGTGACGGTCTCGCTGTAAATCGTTATAACCGAGAGAAATAAATTGCGCGTCTCTGAGTTGTGTTACATCGTTTCTATCATAAATTATCTTTTATATGATCAATAATTTTTCGCCGCATTTTTTTTTCACGTCCTTTTTTTCTCTGTTGCAAAAACGTGACACTGAATAATCTAATTTCCGGGTTATCTCGTTATTCTCATCAAAGAGTCTCGAAAAAGTAGAGGCGATCGACGTTGTTGCGTACGAAGCGATTGACCGGGAAACGACGCGATATCGTGAGAAGAGTGACGGCGCGGGAAAAGGTCTCTGTAATAGAGGTTTATTGGCAATTAATCTTGCGAGCCGGATGTGCCCGCTTCGTCGGGCACGATACACTTCCGTCTCAGCGAGCGACCGGTAAACCGAGGAGAGATGTATTGCGCCGTCCTATACGGAATCAAACGTACGTCCTTCTCTCCGGCCTTCCTCCCGTCGATGCCGAACCTCCGATGTACGTGCCGTGCGTCTTTGTCAGCCGCGCCGGAAGTGTATTGTTCCCCGAGTACCTCCGGTACTCGCAAGGTGCCCATCAACTTTGATCGAGTGGGCTAACATACGTAAGTGACGTTATCTTTTCCGAGTTCGCGTTGCGTAGTGTCTAAATGTGTTAAACCTGACTGAAAGTGCATCTATTTCATCGCGATATAACGTTGACAAAGCGTTGAGTTGATCGCGCGTTACGTTCATGCGTTTATTATAGTTTAGCATAGTGTATTATCGTGCTTTCCACACCCATGTCGAATTATCCAATGCAAAGGTGGTATCCTGAATTACCCCCCCCCCTCTTTCTCTTTCTCTCTCTTTCTCTGTACACAAGAGTATCGATTTTC